TTTTACTCTGGTGACATTTCTGACAGATCGCAAATATTGTATATTGTTTTTTACTTCCTCTCGTCTAAAACAAAAAAAAAAATAAAAAAATAAGAAAATAAATATGAGAGAGAGAGAGAGAGAGGAAAGAGGAAGAGAGAGGGAGAGAGAGAGAGAGAGGAGAGAGGAGGAGGGGAGGGGGAGGAGGAGGAGAGAGGGAGGAGGGGGAGGGAGGGAGGGAGAGGAGGGAGGGAGGAGGGAGGGAGGGAGGGAGGGGAGGGAGGAGAGAGAGAGAGAGAGAGAGAGAGAGAGAGAGAGAGAGAGAGAGAGAGAGAGAGAGAGAGAGAGAGAGAGAGAGAGAGAGAGAGAAAGAGAGGAGAGAGAAGAGAAGAGAAGAGAAGGAAGAGAAGAGAAGAGAAGAGAAGAGAAGAGAAGAGAAGAGAAGAGAAGAGAAGAGAAGAGAAGAGAGAAGAAGAGAAGAGAAGAAGAGAGAGAGAGAAGAGAAGAGAAGAGAAGAGAAGAGAAGAGAAGAGAAGAGAGAGAAGTGGGAGCGAGAGAGAGACAAAAGGACAAAGGAGGAAGGAGGGAAGGAGGGGAGGGGAGGAGGGGAGGAGGGCGAGATAGACAAAAAAAAAAAAAAAAAAAAAAAAAAAAAAACAGTCTTTGATCTCGTCTATAACACCGTTGTGCGAATCACACAGAGAGACACCATGACTTTCGGTTAATGAAAAGCCTTTGATGAGAACAGTAATAAGAGTCTCTCCCTCTCCCTCCTCTCTCTCTCTCTCTCTCTCTCTCTCTCTCTCTCTCTCTCTCTCTCTCTCTCTCTCTCTCTCTCTCTCTCTCTCTCTCTCTCTCTCTCTCTCTCTCTCTTGTGTTTCGGCGAAATTAATTAGCTGTGTACGATACGAGAAGCTAATAAAAAAAAACAATAATTCTTACTCACCAGTAATGAAAGAGTGAGGAGGGGAGAGAAATATTAATTAATTAAAAATAGGAAAGTGTACCCTATTTTGCACCGTTTTCTAAGGGAGAAATGTCTCCGATAAAACCGTTACCTTTAAATATTCAAAATCCCGCTGGATGTCTGCGATATCTATAAATCAATATCAATAGACTGCTGCCATTCTGACGAGATTCAGTTATAGTGAAAGTGAAAAAAATAATAATATCTTTATTTCTTTTTAAATGGTATTTCGAATACAATGCTTGATAATATTCGTCGTCTATGAATCTTATACTAAATACACCGCCTTTCATAATATCATTCCGATTACGTGTCATATAATAGAATCTAATAAGCTTTTAAAGAAGACTGGTGCGTTATAGAAAAAAAACAAAATCGAAGAGGCTCGACACGTGAGAAGACAGCAGGGGATCCTCTCACTTTCATCTAAACGGATTTGGATAGCATGTGAAGGAGGATCGATGCGCAAACACCTCTTCAAACCCTCTATGCGTTCCTCTCCTTTATTCGTTTTTCCTGTTTTATCTCCCCTCCCTCTTTTTCTGCCATTCTCTCTCTCACGTGAGTCTCTGTCTCTTTCCCTGCCGTGATCTCCTTCTCTTTCTATCTACATCACACACACACACACACACACACACACACACACACACACACACACACACACACACACACACACACACAAACACAACACACACACACACACACACACACACACACACACACACACACACACACACACACACACACACACACACACACACAGCACACACACACATGCACAGGCACGCTATTTGCGTCATCGGGGAGTTATAAACTGCCCTTATCAATACCATGACTATTATTAATACCACATACGTGAGGAGGAGGAGGAAAGGAAGGTGAGGAGGAAGAGGAGGAAGAGGAGGAGGAGGAGGAGGAGGAGGAGAGGAGGAGGGGAGGAGAAGGAGGAGGAGGAGGAGGAGGAGGAGGAGGAGGAGAGGGAAGGAGGAGGAGGAGGAGGAGGAGGAGGAGGAGAGGAGAAGAGGAAGGGGAAGGAGGGGGGGGAGGAGAAGAAGAAGAAGGAGGGGAGGGGAGAGGAAAAAGAAGAAGAAGGAAGAGAAGGAGCAGAAAGAGGAGAAAGAGGAGGAAGAAGAAGAATGGGAAGTGAAAGAGGAAGAAGAAGAGAAAGAGGCGACAAAGGAATACGAGACGAAAGAGGAGAAAGAAGAAGAAAAGAAAGGAGAGAAAGAGGAAAATGAAGAAGAGAAAAAAGCGAAAGAGAGAGAGGAGGAGGAGAAAAAGGAAGAAGAGAAAAAAAGCGAAAGAGGAAGAAGAGAAAGAGGAGGAAGAAGAAAAAGGAGAGAAAGAGGAAGAAGAAGAAGAAGAGAAAAAAAAAAGCGAAAGAGGGAGAAGAGAAGGGAGAGGAGGAGGAGAAAGAGGAAGAAGAAGAAGAGAAAAATGCGATAGAGGGAGAAGAAGAAAAAAGGAGAGAAAGAGGAAGAAGCAGAAGAAAAAAGCGAAAGAGGGAGAAGAGAAGGGAGAGGAAGAGGAGAAAGAGGAAGAAGAAGAAGAAGA